AATGTTAATGGATTGGGAAGATGGCCACCTTCGTCAGAACTTGTGAATGCTTCCAGATGCTTGATTTCTATAGATGAAATGACATGATGTTTGAAGCCAAAGTCTGCCCATCTTCAACAACTACTGCTCTAGGCATTAGGAAAGCAGAGAAGAACTACATTAAAAAAAAAAAAAAATCCCTATTCTTAGCCCTAACTGGTTTGGATCAGTGGATATAGTTTTGGGCCATGGACTGTAGGGTCCTTAGTTCAATTCCAGTTATTGGCATGTATCTTGGCTGTGGGCTCAGTTCCCAGTAGTGGGCTTGCAACTGATCGATATTTCTCTCATCTATGTTTCTGACTCTCATTCTTTTTCCTTCTTCTCTCTCTATATATATAAATATTATTATAGAGACCATTAGTCTAATAGTTGTGCCTGGTTCTCTGTTTACCTTATCTGGAAAATAAAATGAATGGAGTTCCTGACTATGACAAGTTTCTGAAAGACCCTGAAAAGAAACTATGGTTGGATTGACCCCTAACCCATTTAATAGGCTCTAACATGTCATATTGAGTGCTTTGCCAAGTACTTGTCAATCATTTATTATTTAAAATTTAAAATCTGGATATACACATTTTCAACTACAGTCAGACCAGGAAGTAAAGTTTGATGATTCTTACTTTTCTGTTTCAAATTAATATTGTCTAAATTTTGTTACCATATGATCAGGAGGAAGTGTGGCTACCATTTAAAGGGTTCAAGCTCTAGTTTTTATTTGACAGCTAGTGGCCGAGTGCACAGATTCATGCACATTGAAAGGAAATGAATTAGAAGAAATATTTGAATATCGTATTTGCCCTTTCTCTATAATAGAAGTGTCAACCAAATTCACAATCAACAATGACAGATTGAAACACATGCTGCGTTGATTGGCCACAGTGAGAGCTTTCTATGTATCACACATACATGAGTCCACTTAGAGATGTATATATTGAGATATATATATATATATATATATATATATATATATATATATATATATAAACTTGCCTAATTATATCTACTTTCTGATTTAGCTAAACTTTTCCCAGCCCAATGAAGCACCCCAACTTCTCTTTCAGGTAATTGACAGTAACACAGCAGTAAATATGAACATGAAGCAGATTATTATTATAGATCACACAGGGAGAACAACGGGTGAAATATTTAACTGCAGCAGTGTTTGACTATATTCTGCACAGTGAGAAAAGTTGGAGTAATTTCTTGATTATTTTTAGTTGGGTCAAGTTCTTAAGCTTTCTAAATCTTGGTTTTCTGGCTCATGAAATGGAAATAGGATTCCACTGAGTATCCTATCTACCTACTCCAGGATTTCTGTGAGGAACAAATGAGATGAGGCATAGGAAAATGCTTCACTGACATTTGGTTAAAGTATAAAATTTTGATCCTGGCTATGAAGCAAGTCATTTTCCTGGGCTGAAGAAACTCCAAGGAGGCTAGTCAGTAGGAAGAGGAAGCCTGGCATTGCTACATGACGCCATTACCCAGTGCCCACATCCACCTTTTCTGGCCTGGCCTGGGCTGTGGATCACATTTTGCACCATGGGATCTTAGCAGTGTAGGCTGCAATTTGGTGGGGTGTTACTCCGGGGTTATGGTGGGGTCTATGTCCCACTTGGGGGAAGTTGAGTTTTGCTTTGTGGGTGCTAGGTCCCTGGTGCCATTTATTTGTAAATGGCCAGTGCACATCATGGCAGCTCCTGCATTGAGCATCTGCTCCTTGGTGGTCAGATAGATGCTTAGCATATTAGCCTTTTATATATGCTGTATTTTTCTATTTCTCTATGGTTTTAGAAAGAGAGTATATTGCATGTTGTATTATGCAAGGTCCAATTATTTAAACATGCCTTCCATTTATAGTTATTTATATTCTCCTAATCCATTTTGCATTTTCATTGCAGTGATGTGCTCTATCCTTAGATCTCACAGAATTAGTCCTATCATTAGTAAGTAATTAATTTTTAACACTTTCGGATCCACCGTGTTTGTGTTGTAGCTTTTAGCAACATTGACCATACAATAGAACCAGAAAACTCCCTTCTCAAAAGTATTATAAGACTATCTTTCTTAGGCATCTAATCTGACTTTAGTCATATCTCCTTGACTCCGTATTTTTACCTATAAAACAATGTTCACGTTGCTATTTATGTATCTCTCCAAACAGATAATTCTTCAGATTCAAGATTGTATTTGCCATTTTTCTATTGCACAAATGCTTTAGTCAACAAACATCCATTTACTGAATATTTTAACCCAGATGTTTTCAGCAGAGTTGGGAAAACAACAGAAAACCAGGTCAATAAGTCTTTCTGCTGGAGGTCTGTCTTTCTATTCAAAACACAGTGAAAATATGTCACTTCTACTGTGTATTGTATCATCATAAGAGACTAGTTCTTTAATGGTCCAATAAATTATTCACCTCAAAAATAGTTTATTTAAAGCTTGAGACAATATCCAGGATGTTCTATGTAGCCACACTGTTCCAGTCATAGTGAGAGTGTCTTCACCAGCTGCCAAGACATTCTTTCATTTTTATTGTAAGTAAAAAAATATAATTTTCTTTTAATTTATTTTTTTTTTTGTCATCAGTAAAGAGAATGCTTGCAAGCCAAACAATGGAGCAAAGAACACAATGAAAATGATGAACAAAATTTTGGAAGCTACTATACAGAAAAGAAAGAGAATACATAGAAAATAAAGATGATTTAATCTTTTTGCCAGGAAGCCTATAAAAAGCAAATCATACTGCTGTGAAAATGAGTCTTATTTGACCACCCAGTTATTTATTCTTGTTTACAGACATATTACCAGCAGAAAGCACAAACACTTTTTCTCCTGAGTTTGTTTTTTAAGGTATTTTACTAACTCCAGCTGTCGCCGAACAAAACATGAAATAATAACAGTTCAGTGCTGATATCACTCTTCATCTCCCTTCTCTCCTGCTGATTTGCATTTCAATTAGCTTTCAGTTTCAAGAAATAAATACCTCCAGTAAGGGTAGAAGAGAAACCATTACACTGCACTGTTTCAGCATTTTTTCTGTGTGGGAGTGCTCCAGGATTATCCTAGATGAATACTGTGATATCACAACCAGTTATTTGCAGTTTGTCTCAGGAAGAGAAGATGTGAGTTTCATCTCTTGGAGGGGCATATCCTCATGCTTTGCAAATAGGGCACTGCACACTCCTGATAAAGAAATCCAATTATCCTTTAAAAAAGATTCAAAAGCATAATAGCAACATTCCATCTGAGGCTTTCATTATCACATACATTTCTTGATGGATTAAAAAAACAACCCTACATTCCCAGAGTTCAATGTGTATCATACCAATTTCACTATATTGATTACCTAGGACCACACCAATACATTTGAACGAGTGAGAAAATAACTTTTCGAATTGCTGTAAGAAATATGTGTGTAAATTTACAGGATATATATTTTCTTCAGAATTTGACTTCAGAATTTCTAAGGACCACTGTGTTCAGAAACCTATTTTTTAATTCCAAAAGCATAGAACAAATATATATAAAACAAACAAAATTATTAATTATTGTGGTTCATAAGTTGTCTGAGCACTACTTCGTGTTAATAAAATGACAAACTTTAGTTTATTCAACAGTCATTAATTGAAAGACACTTTCTATATTCAATGATGGCAAAATGTGAAAAAAAAATGTGTTTTTTCATCAATGAGATAAGATTAAAAGAAATGGGGTTTACAACCAAAAAACAGTTAAAACTTTTAAAAAGGTTTCCTTTTGGAAAACTGTATTGCAGTTGTAACCACATTAATTGTGGCACTTATTATAATTTAAGAAGCTATTCTTCCAGTGGACCCCTTGTTCTTTTTCTATATATACTCATAGGACCACAAGAAACTGATAGTCTTTTATAAAATTAATTTGTTTACATATTATTGTATTAGTTATATATTAATATATAAAGTCATTACAAAATTTAGGTGCTTAAAACAACATGTAGCCCTAGCTGTTTTGGCTCAGTGGATAGAGTGTTGGCTTGTGGATTGAAGTGTCCTAGGTTCAATTCTGGTCAAGGGCATATGCTTGGGTTGAAGACTTGATCCCCAGTAGTGGGGGGGGGGGGGGGTAAGGGGGTGTTTTAGGAGACAGCTAATGATTTTCTACCTCTCTCTCTCCCTCTTCCTTCCTCCCTCTGAAATCAATAAAAAAAAAAAATAAACAAAAACACATGTATTGTCATACAATGGCTGTGGGTTATGAATTCAGACATGACTTACCTGCTTTAGAATCTCCCACAGGTTACAATCAAGAGATAAGTGGAACTGGAATAGATGTTTGTTGGCAGAATTCAGTTCCTTGTGGGTTACTGGACTGAGAATCTTAACTTCTTGATTGCTCTTGGCCATGGGTCAGTCCCTTTCCACTTGACCCTTTTCAACATGGCAACTTGTTCATGTAATTCTGCACTCAGAGAAGGCAGGTGTCTCTAGTAAAATGTCATTTACAATCTTTCTAATTCATTAATAAATCTTACCCTTAACCTTTTCTGTACTTTGGTGGTTAGAAACGAGTCACTAGTCCAGCCCACATTCAAGACGAATGGATTAATGTGGGAGTAAATGCCAGGAAAAAGCCATCATTGGGGAACATTTAGTTGTATACTTACCACAATCTACATTATAAAAGACCATCTACTTTATAAAAGGCCAGGGTTCATAATGACTGAACAGAGGACTGAACACCAGGAAGTGCATGGAGCACCTCTAGGTCTCTCCCTCTCCCCTCCCCACCTCCAGGCTCCCATCACTGGATGGCCAATGGGAAACCAAGGGGATCCAGGCTGGGTGGCAGAGGAGCAGGACTGGGGATTGGTGAGCAGGCACAAGCCTCCCCCCAGCCAACAGGCTCAAATGGATTCTCAGTTCATTCTGAAAAGAATGTGGTGCCTCCACTGCGCAGCCTCCTGGGATGTAGACTCACCTCTGTGAGAGGCTCTGGAGCAGAGACTTCAACAAGGACTTTAGCTCCTGCAGCGACCCTCAGCCTTCACTGCTGGGAGGTAGACAGAGAGATCAGCTTTAAAACACCCTCCTCAGGAAAAACCCCCACCTCCATTTTCCATAGCTGCTTCCCTGTCTGCAAGAAACTGGCCAGCTCCTCCCTGCGGGCAGGGCGGAGCCAGAGCCTGAGTTGAGTGGTTCCATGGTGGGGCAGGAGCCAAGCCAGACAGCTAGGTCAGTGCAGTGATGGAGGGAGGGCAAGCAGGGCAGGACTAAGGGGCAGCCCTGGTTCCCTGCACCTCTTCCCACATGCATAGCCCTTCTTGGTGTTATGATAAAAGGAGTTGTGTTTTTCAGGTAAAGGGAAAAAGTATCTGTTGACTTCTGATCTTACTCTCTGAGCTGCCAGTTAATCCTTTTGGATGCATCATATCCAACCTCCAGAGGATCGGAGGGGCAGGTCCAACCTTCGTCCCGTAGTTGAGGAAACTGACCAATAAACACGTGTCTCATGCCTCAGGGTCAACTCCCGAAGAAATCTCCGGGTAGTGACTCAGATTGTTTTCTTTTGTTTTCATATTTAATTCAACCCAGTAATCAAATAATACAATAAAGAATAAAATGAGTTCAGGGGACTCAGCATTGCATCCCCAGGGCCCTTGGTCCCACACAAATTGCAGAGATGAAAGAAAAGGAAAGAGAAACTTGAAAGCTTTCCCAGCTCAGTCACAGAGACATCTCATAGCCACATACTAAGGACAGGACATTAACTGTGGGTGGAAAGGACACAAAAGGAACAGAAGATGGAGCCATTTCCGTTCAGATTCAAACCAAGTTAATGAGGCAGAAGAAACACTGGACACCATGGAGGAATAAGATGAAACGGTACCGTAGGGAGTGTCACAGACCTTGCAGGGACAGCACCTGAGGCTCCGGACATGACAGGAGGAGAGATGGGGGCTGGTGCGAGGAAGTGTATGGGAAGGCCTGGGAGTAGGAACAAGAGGGTGATATGCAGAAGGTGGGCCTCACCAGGTGATGACAAGGGGCAAGCCTGCGGGAGGTGGCCAAGTGCCCCCACCTCTGCTGAGGGGAGCTTGTGTCCGTCGTGGGAGCTGCGGCTGGTGGAGAGGGAGGCGATGGCTCCATGTGGATGAGTTGCCAAAGAGAGCCTCCCTGCAGCCACAGTTTTCCGTGTTTTCAACATGGTGGGAGCGTAGGATTATGCACACGATGTCACAAAAGAAAAAGCATCCTATTCCCACCTTATTCACAGACTTCTACTTCTGGAACCTATATTCCCAATGTGTCCACAAGTACATTTGGAAAAAGAAAAAAAAAATTTGTATGTGATATGATTACATCTTTAGAAAAACCCAAGTGATCATGAGCCAAATACACTGATGAACAAAAATAGACCCAGAGACACAGAGGCAAGAACAGGCTATGGAACCTGAGAGGGAAGGCAGAGGAGGGTGGGTCTGTGGGAAGAGATCAATGATTCGCCTTACGTGCATATATTCATCACCCTGGACACAGACAATGGGATGGTGAGGGCCTGGGGGCAGGGTAGTAGACTGGAAAAGGTTAATGGTGGGAAAGGGGACCTATGTAAACCATTCAACAATACTTAATAAAAAGAGTGAAAAACAAAAATTAAAAAGGAAAAGAAAAGAAAAGCCAAGAATAACTGCCCTGGCCAGGTAGCTCCATTGGTTGGAACTTCTTCCTGTACATAGAAAGGTTTCCGGTTCGAACTCTGGTCGGAGTGCTTGCAGGAAGCCACTGAGCAAGTGGTGCCTGGGGGAGGGAGGCTCCTCAGACCTAAACATAGTCCAGGCCTCGCTCATGATCCAAGGCCCATCCTCTGCTGAGTGAGACTGTACCTCCCAGCTTCCTGTTGAGTCTGGTCTCTGAGTCATAGGGCTGCTTCCCCATGTTCCCCAGAATGCACTGCTCAGTAACCATCTATACTAATAAAAGGGTAATATGCTGATTAGACCAGATGTCCCTTCAGACAAAGTCACAGTGGCAGGGGCTGAGGCAGAGGTGGTTAGGGGTAACCAGGCTGGAAGGGGAGCATTTAGGAGCTAGCAGTCCTGGATTGCGAGAGGGATCCCAGATTGGAGAGGGTGTAAGCCAGGCTGAGGGACATCCTTCCACCCCCATGCATGAATTTCATGCACTGGGGTTCTACTTATTAATAAAAGTCTGAAAAATAGGAGACAGGAATTTAAAAAAAAATAATTTCTAGTGATCTTGTTTTTTCTCTCCTGTAGCTATGTGTTTTTGCTGTTATTAAGTTATGAAAAGTCTATTGTTAGAAGAGCATATGCTAAACAGGAAAGAGAAAGACCTAGAATTCTAGTTTAATCACTTAATAGCTATATTGCATTGAACATACTACTTCTCAGCCTTTAATGATTTATCAAATAGATGAGATTAATGCTTAATATCTACTTGTGGGTATCTTGTGAGGGGAAAATGTGTTACTTTCCAAGAATCTATTGAATGACAACACATATCAGGATTCATTCTACTTCCTAAGGATAAAAAACAACAACTAAGCAATAAATAATCCTTTCCCGGAACAGTAACTAATCTAAGATGTGAAAGAGTATTTAAGCTATATAGAAATATATCTGGCTTATAGGCACTCAGCTAATGTTGGCCCTGCCTCTAGAGGTCTTTTTGTTTCTATTTTCTTTTACTGTGTATTGATTGCTCATCCTTCAGCGACAACAAAGGAGCAATTGTTATACTCTTAGAAGATCAATTAAAGGGCATCATCCCTTTTATTTTCAGCACTCTCACCTGTTAGTTCACATTTCTTTACCTCTTCATCATTTCCCATCATCCATCTCCCCTCCAAAAGTGCAGAAGAACAAGGCACTTAACATTTTGAGAATTTGAACTGAAGAAAATAAAATGCTAAGGATGAGAATATTGCAGGAAATATTTATTAATGTTAGTATGAAGATTTCACCAGAAATAAATTAAATCACTATATAATTTCCATATTCAGGGATCATAATTCCATTTGCTAGAGCTACTTAACATTGCCATTCAGAGGAAATGTAATGTTTTATTCATAGATTTTTTTTTAAAAAATAGAGGCCAAACATTCATATTTATAATATGAAAAACACATTAATATTTAAATATCTAGCTCTAAATTTAATCAAATACAATTAGCATAATGGAAGTAAAAATACAGATGACCCTAGTCAATACAAATTTTAAATGGACTATAAAACTACTGTTTATTGAAATTAAGATTAAAGAATTCAATTTACATTTAAGTACCAATTTAACATCATATTCTATAGCTAATGCATGCATCTTGAGGCTTCTCTGTCTGATTTTTTTCCATTTATATAATTAGAAATCTAATTCACAGTATTTGAAGAATTAGCATTTGTGAAAGTACCTTGCTCAGTGTTTGGCATATTATAATTAGTCATATATGAAAGTTAATTTTCCAAAACTGTCTCAAGATAAAATTAGGCTCTACAGGCAAGTATCAACTAGCTAAAAATGTCAAGTGTGTGTGTGTGTGTGTGTGTGTGTGTGTGTGTGTGTGTTAATCTGGCATGTTTCTGGATCCAGAACCCCATAAAATAAGCTGAAAACATTTTCTGGGTTCCCCTCCATACTCGTCTGCTCTGCAAGCCTGGAGTTCCTATAGGTTGCACTATAATGATTACCAGATATTATTGTTTGAATTCTGGGACTGATGTAGAAAGAAGTGAACAGATATCTGAGAGGCAGGGAATAGCTTGATCAGTGATTCTGATGGGCACCTGACCATGGAGGCCAAGCAGGCTGACTTGAGAAATCAGGAGATAGTCAGAAGTAGTGAGGATGACTCAAGCCGAGTTGGGGAATGTGTTTACAGGGAGAGATCCAGCAGGGAAAAGGAGAGACCAAACATTGCAGGGAAGCTCACATGGCTTGTGGTGGTGGCACGTGGTCTCATAGGCTACTGTTGGTCTCTGTCGCAAGTCTCTAGTACCTAAAAAATGACATCATAGGTTTTTGAGGGGTGATCATTTCGGTAGATACCCTCAAAGTTGTGCTGGCCTCTGATGTTGGGCTTACTAATACTTTTGGAACTGGACTAAAGAGGTCTGTTTGCCTGCACACACTGAAGCCCAATCAAAAGGAAAAAGGAGTTGAAAGCCAAGAAAATAAGGTATATTATTTGAGGAAATGGCACCAAGCCTGGAGTTCCCAGGTAAGCTACTGTCCAAGACCTAGCTTCCCAATGGCTTCCAGGGGATGGGTTTTATAGGGGAGAAATCATTAATCATGTAATTAAAGGAGTTGGGGTTGTGGGCTGTACTGATTGGTTAGGGCCAGGGTAGGGTGTAGTTAATCATTGTATCAGATCCTGATAACAGCCATATCTTTATTCTGACTGGTTTCATGAGAGTGTAGTGTTAAGAGTCCTTCAGCTTTCATAGGTCTGGATCTAAAACACTGAAGTCAAGCTGAAGTCAAGATGTTATCTGTGATTTTAGCAAAACTCTGTGTCTGTGGTCAACAGATCTGAGGCTTTGTTAAGACATTTTTATCCTGACCAGAATCAGATGTCCTAAGGGCTTGATGATTAAGGAAGGGACTGGATGAACAGTAAGAAAAAAGATTCATGGTAAAGAAATGGAGTTTCTGTGTGTATATGTTATAGGATAGGTTAAGGGCTCAATTTTCCTGTTTGCTAGTGGGAGTAGGATTCTTGTGGTACTGCTGCCATAAGAATTTCTGGAAGCCGCCATAGGAGGACGAGATATATCTAATAGTAGAAATCTTTATTTATGTGGGATTATACCCCTAGGTTTCCAAAGAAGTCCCCTTTCTTTAGTCCAGTCATAGAAGAAATTTCGCTAGAGCTGTAGCAGAGCTAATATCAGAGCCAATGACTAGAGTTTTATTTCCATGTTGGAGCTGGGTCTGGTCCAGCATCAGGCTGGCTTAGCTTGTGTTTCCCTGCTGCAGTTCATCAGCCCATTGGCTATGGGGTCTGCCTGGCCATGGGTCAAATGGGCAGCCTCAAGAGAGCCAAGAGCCAAGAGCCACTTGAGCAA